TATTTTCTCGTCGAACAAATAACAACGGTAGAATGAGAGAAGGGGAGAGGAGGGGGGAGGGAGACAGGAGAGGGAGAAGGAGAAGGAGAAGGAGCAGGAGAAGGAGAAGGAGAAGCAGGAGAAGGAGAAGGAGAAGAGTAACGAATCGCGGACGATCCTTCGAGACGAACGAAATTCCGTTTCGAAGCGAGCGACGGATGGAGTCGGCGAGGAGGAAAGCATCGCGACGTCGTTCGACGTTGGCACGAATGCGGACGACCTTGAGTGAACGCTCGCTTACCTCCCACGCGATAAATCTCGAAGAGAAAAGACGTTTCGCGAAGTGTGGCACGGCGCTACGTGTTCCATCTAGGTGTATCGAGGGACGAGTCGGTCCGCATTCTTCGCGTAACCCTCTGCCTCCTCTGGCCTCGAGGGTTCGTCGCGCGTCCGTTCCAACTCGATCTCTCGTCTCTCCGATCGGGAGAACGAAGAGAGGAGTGAAAGTGGACGATTTCGTCGAATCGAAAAGAGAAAAGGAATCGCGATTCCTCCCCTCCCCCTGCCTTTCTTTTCTCTTTCCAAAAGTCGATAATCCTCGACTCGCAACGTGTACAAGGCTACGCATCGTGTTTAGAATAAATAGATAGATAATGGAACGAGGTAAAAGATGAGAATAGTATGCGGAACTAGAAAGATAACTGGTTCTATCTTCCCTTCGGCGTATACGTATGTAACTACAGGTATAGAATACATATGTATATACGTATATAGGTGGATTCGAGAGTCGCGTACTCTCACGCATTTCTCGAGGATGTCCTCGAGTTTGGAGGACGGCCAAGAATCGACGTTGATCGCGTCGCGTGCACGTATAACGGCGATGCTGGTAGTTATAGAGGCTGCGATAATAGGTGTTTGGCCCCTCTTTTCCCGCTTCGGCCCTCCATTCGGGGATCGAACGGGGGGAGCGAAACGAGCGATCACGTTTTCGATCATCGACCCGATCACTGACGAGCTCGTGTTATACCGTTTTCTATCCATCGGTTACGATCGATCGCAAGGTGGCCACCGGTCGGAATTTAAAGATGGAAACTCGACGAGTTTTTTAACGGTGCAACGACCGAGCGATCGCGGTTGGAGAAAACGAAGAAGCGGGGTATCGTTGGCACGCACGTGGACGTAGCATACTAGCGGTTCTGCATACTAGAAGGAGAATGCGCACGTGCTCGTGCATACGTAGCGAAAGTGGGGCAACGGCGGACCACCCACCGCGTTGCACCATCGCGGTTCCCGCCATTTCTTTCCCATCCTTTTCTTCCGTCCTTTTCATCCCATTCTTTTTTTCTCACCTCACGCGCGTTTTTTACATTACAATCGCAAATCCAATTTCTATACCGCAACTTTCCTTTCTCTATACGTATTCTACTCCACGTCTCGCTACTCCACGACCGAGGATATTTTATTTTCCTTCCCGTATCGATCGTGATCGTTCGAGTAGAGTAAGTTTTAACGGCGAGAGAGAGAGAGAGAGAGAGGAGGGAGGGGAATCGGAACGCGAGGGAAAGAAGGAGGAAGGGAAACGAGACGACTCACCTTGGAAGGGTCGGGTATCCTCTCGAGGCCAAGACCACGCGCTATGCTCCTTCTGATAATATCGAGCTCGGTCTCGTCGACTATGCTCCTCGACGTCGTTGCTCGATCCTCTTCTCGGAAAACATCCTCGTAGACGTCCTCGAGACCGGTGAAGCGGTGGAGGTCGTCCTCGTGGCGAGGACCGGTTCCAGAGAGCGGCACGGGCGACGCGATCGGCACGAAAAGCGCCACCGCCACCGCCACCAACGTCGCTATCCGGAATAACCGAGAGATCGACGATCCATCGATCTTGATCACTCTCCGGCATCGATCTCCTCCTCTCTTCTCCTCTTCGTTCGTCCATTTCCCTCGCCCAACGATTCTCCAACGATAATCTCTCTCATCGAATATTCGATGGCGATGACGATGGCGGCGGTGGTGATGGTGGTGGTGGGGGTGGTGGTGGTAGTGACGATAGTGGCGATGACGATGGTGGTAGCGATGGTGGTGGTGACGTTTGTCGACCGGCGCCGTCTCGATCGAGGCTATCCTCGGCCGATCCTCGATCCCCCGGCTCAACGGAGGAGCCGCCGTCCCCTCGTCGATCGAGACCGCTGCTTCCGCCCGTCCAATCCGTGGGATGGTCGTCCCGCGAATAGGAAGCGGCGCGACGCGAGCGCGGCCGGAATCGCGCTCGAGCGACCGCACCGATGCCTTCGCCTTCGCCTTCGCCTTCTTCTTCTTCTCTTCTTCTTGTCCCTCGTTGCCACGGGTCACGAGTCGACCACGAGTCGCCAGCTTTCCT